TATGCTATGTGTGACACATGACCTACCAACATCATATCAAAAGTGTTGGATTTTACCTCCATAAAAAAAACATCACACCCAATGCCTATGAAGCGTGAGTACACGTATAAAGCCTTGAAGGTTAACAATTTATCACACCGAACATCCGTGGAAAGTAAGATAAGCAAAAGAAAAAATAGTTAAATTTAATGGGTGTCACTCTTTTCGCGGGAAATGAAAGCATTAAAAATGAACATTCACTTTTCGCGGGAATTGGGTTTGATGAACATTCACTTTTCATTAAAAAAAGTCATTCATTTTTTACAATAAACTGAAGAGTTTTGATACTAGAGAAAGTACATTACACCAAGACATCGACCATGACCTTGTTTTTACAACCATCGCCCATTAATTGTGAAAGTACATGTGGAGTGGTCGGTTTGTTGTATATTTTTTTCTTGGGAGCTAAGCAACATGAAAGAATGATTCCCACAAAATTTCCGATTTTTCTTGACAACTCTAGCTATTTTTTCTAATTTCCTATTATTTAATATTTAAAAATTCATTAAATAAAATTGGTTGGTTGAAAAATTATGAAACTTGATTTATAGATTCATTAGAATGTCCCATTAATGAATCAATCAAGTTCATGGAAAAAAACAATCTAAAACTTGAGATATTTGACCGTAGACAGCTCAGAAAAATCGTATCTAGGCCTGGCAGACCAAAAAATGCTTCAAAATGTACTATATAAGGGGGTGACTAGTCTGCATGGGCTAGGCACGGGGGTACCCTTTATATCTTCCGCCACCCCCACGTCCCAAGCACTATGTGCCGCACGTGGGCATATGCTTGGGGTGTGGGGGTGGTGGTTGGCGGACGAGGGCGGTTGATGGCGGTGGTGCGGTGGCGAAACTTGCATGGTGAGGTAGTGTCGGGTGCGCTTTTGGGCATGCAACATGAGCCTTGTTAAGAATGGAATGTTGCGATGTTGCCTTCTAACTTGGGCTGGCTTGAGGATGGTTGATGGCTGGTACGACGATGAAACATGCAATGTGGGGTGGAGTCGGGTGCCTTTAGGCGTGCGGCATGAACCTCGTTGAGTGTGTGACGTTATGGTGATGCTCGGCCAGCCTTGGGCCAACCCTATGTTTTGAAGGCGTGTGGTGCCAGAACATGTTCGGCTGGATGGAATCGGGTGCCTTTGGGCATGCGACATGAGCCTCGTTGAGCACGGAATGTTGCAATGTTGCCTTCTAAATGGGAATCTCTGGTGTGAGGACTGTGGAGTGCTGCTGGTACGATGATGAAACATGCAAGGTGGGGTGGAGCTGGGTGCCTTCGGGCGGGCACTGACTCAGATTTTCAAACCGATGTAAATTCGAGGAAATCGACATTAGGATCTGTCTTCACTCTAAACGGAGGAGCAATAATATGGAGAAGCATACAACAAGGTTGCATTGCTGATTCCACCATGGAGGCTGAGTATGTTGCTGCTTGTGAAGCAGCGAAAGAATTTGTATGGCTTAGGAAGTTCTTAACTGATTTGGAAGTTGTTCCAGATATGCATCTTCCCATCACTCTTTATTGTGATAACAGTGGAGCAGTTGCAAATTCAAAAGAACCAAGAAGCCATAAACGAGGAAAATATATTGAGCACAAATATCATCTCATAAGGAAGATTGTGCAACGAGGAGATGTGATCGTCACACAAATAGCTTCAGAGAACAACATTGCTGATCCATTTACAAAACCCCTCACGGCTA